CGGAGAGAATGTCTCGGTGTAATCGATTCCTTCCCTTTGAGTGAATCCCTTAGCAACAAGTCTTGCTTTATGTCTTTCGATGTTGCCATCAGAGTCTATTTTGGTTTTGAAGACCCATCTGCATCCAATGGCTTTTACACCATCAGGCAACTTGACAAGATCCCATACCTTGTTTGATGCCATAGAGTCCATCTCGTCTTTCATAGCACTATGCCATAAATCGGATTCTTTAGAATTCATGGCTTGTGAAAACGTTTCAGGATCATTTGCGGCTTTTATATCGTAATCTGATTCTTGAAGATACACCATGAAGTCACTAGAAATAGCTGACTTTCTGACTCGTGTAGATCTTCTTAATGTTGTTTCATCATTATCACGAAGAACTTGCTGACCAACTGATTCAACAGCATGTTGTTCAACATTTTCTTGATGTTCTTCATCAACAACTTGATCTACGTGATCATTTTCATCAGTTTGTGGAACTTCATTACTTAATCGTCTAACACGCGTTTGAACTTGAGGAGCGTGAAAGACAATCAATCTATCACTCAGCTTAGTAGGTTGATCTTTATAGTGATCTGTTTCAGAATGAGTATCTGGAATATGATCACTCCCACTAACCAAGTCATTCTCGAGAAATTTCGCATTTCTCGATTCCACAATTCTAGTGCTATGAGACGGACAATAGAATCTATATCCTTTAGACTTTTCGGCATATCCAATGAAATACCCACTAATAGTCCTCGGATCTAGCTTCTTTTCTTGTGGATTATAAATTCTCACCTCAGACGGGCATCCCCAAACACGTATATGTCGCAAACTCGGCTTCCAACCCTTGAATAATTCAAAAGGTGTCTTTGAGACAGCCTTGGTTGGTACCCGATTCAATACATACGCAGCCGTCTTTAGCGCTTCTGTCCACAAGAAGTGAGGAAGTTTCACATTACTCCTCATACTCCTCACCATGTCCATTAATGTTCGATTTCTTCGTTCTGAAACACCATTTTGGTCCGGAGAACCAGGCATAGTGTATTGGGCAACAATCCCATTCTCTTGAAGAAATCTAGCAAATGGACCGGCAGCTTGTCCATTTTCTGTGTATCTGCCATAGTACTCACCACCTCTATCAGATCTGACGATTTTGATCTGTTTTCCACATTGTTTCTCTACTTCAGCCTTGAAAACTTTAAAGGCTTCTAAAGCTTCATCCTTAGAATGAAGTAAGTAAAGATACATATACCGTGAACAATCGTCAATAAAGGTGATGAAGTATCTCGGATTACTTGCATTCATGTCTGGACAACAAATGTCTGTATGAATAATTTCCAAAAGATTCGAACTCCTTTGTGCACCCTTTATGGACTTGTTAGTTTGCTTGCCTTTAATGCAACTAACACAAGTCTCAAAATCAGTGTAATCCAGGGTACCAAGTATCCCTTCATTCACTAATCTCTTAATTCTGTCAATTGAGATATGTCCCAATCGACGATGCCACAACATATATGAGTTCTCATTCATAACACATCGCTTTAAACCAGCTGTGACATGCAGTGAATCAAAAGTAGTGTCGTTTTTCAATTTGATCGAATAAAGACCATCATTAATTTCACCACAACCAACGGTTCTAGATTCAAAATCCAAAACAAAACTAGAATCCATAAAGTGAAACGAAAAACCCAAGCATGATAGTCTCGATACAGAAATTAAATTTTTGGAAAAACTAGGAACATAAAAAGTCTTTTCCAACTTCAAAACAAAACCACTACTCAGCATTAAACTGCACATCCCAATGGCTTCCACAGGCGAACGCATCCGACTACCGGAATAGATGAACTGTTCACTTCCCATTGGTTTCCTTAGGCTTTCCATACCCTGCAAGGTATTGGAAACATGGATTGTAGAACCAGAATCAATCCACCATGTGTTATAATTAATATTAACCATATTGGATTCATAACAGACAAATGCAGAAGGGATACCTTTCTTTTCGAGCCAGGTTTTGAACTTAATGCAGTCCTTCTTCATGTGTCCTTTCTTTTTACAGAAAAAACACGTAGACTCCTTCTTTATAACCCGCTCAGCTGGCACAGGTCCCTTCCCCTTTGTGTCATGCTTTCTCTTTTTGCCATGGACCGTTAGGTTTACTTTCTCACCTTCCTCCATCAGTAGTCTCTCCTCCTCTTGAACACACATGGTCATCAATTCATTAATGGACCATTTATCTTTATGTGTGTTATAGGATATCTTAAATGGACCGTACTGATGAGGTAAAGTGCACAATATGTAATGGACAAGAAAGGTCTCAGACATGGTCACCTCTAAGCTTTTCAGCTGCGCCGCAATGTCCCGCATGCGCATTATGTGCTCGCGCACACCCCTCGCACCCGTGAACCTCATGGTGGAGAACTGAATGATCAATGTGCTGGCAAGAGCCTTATCAGACTTGACGAATTGTTCATCGATAGCCCTCAAAAGCTCTCTAACATTATCATGCTGATCGACAGACGCACGGATACCAGCAGAGATCTTAGTCTTTATGAGCATCATGGAAAGACGATTAGATCTCTCCCATCGCTCATAAAGATCCACATCATCTGGCTCGCTGGTTTCAGTAATAACCGGCGGCTCGTCTTTCCGTATAGCATAATCAATGTCCATCCAGCCTAAATGAAGGAGAATCCTCTCCTTCCAGATCTTATAATTATCACCAGTCAATTCAGGAATATCACATTTAATGTCAGAGAAATTCATAGGATTAAATGCTGCAAAATTAAACATACATGCTCATCAATAATCGAGGCAAATAAGTTACATGTTCTACCAATGTAAACACGTTAAAACATGAATCTAGAGACATAAAACTTGCCTGTGGGCTAAAGTTTTACTCAATTAGATTTCATCAAGAACTTTACAATAAAACTATCAAATTGTGTTCCTTTTCTCAATTCCTGTGGGTAGATTAAGAAATACAACTCGATATTTTATCCTAATTACTCGTACAAATATAACGAGACTCCTGTGGGTAGATCTCATCACATCGTACATGATAATTACAATTGATGTCCATTAATGTGATTTCAAATAAATCATGAACAAAATTTTAATTAATCGAGGATGCTGTGGCTATTCCACAATTAAATAAAATTTAAAATAAATCACAAACATCATGAATATATAGACTGAAGTTCACATAAATAAATCATATTTATACCATCAGCATGCTCCAATTAAAAATGTAGTGCAGATAGTCAAACAAACATGCAAAGTTTCATATACGACCAAACTAAACTTAATTAACTGATTTGATAAAAACAATTAGGTGATCCAAAAATTCGTGCAGAACAATGCAGACATGCAGTGTTATTTAATTGATCAATATACGTACGCATATTTCGAGAACATATACACAGTCATGCATATGGATGTATCCATGTCTTTAATTAAATTATTTTAAATGAAGCATACAACATGGATTCACAATAAACACTGATGAATAATAATAAATAATAAATTTTGCAGATCTGATTTTATCAATTAAATAATCAATTATTCATGCATCATAACCGATTAGAGATTGCATACTGGCATACATTAATCCGTCAGATATATTCCCTCGAAACACAAAATAGGAAAAATTCAGAAATTCAATATTTTGTGTAAATTAATTTCAAATAAAATTCAAAATTTTCCTAAAAGACAGAATGAAATTTTCTCAAATCGCAGGATCGGATTTTGATCAAGAAAATATCGCAAAACAATTGTTGAAAATAGAAAACCAAAATATTTTCAAATAAGAATTTAAAGCGAATCTTGATCAAGAATTTGATGAGAAGAAAATTCTAAGCAAGGCAGAGGCCAAAAATTGCTCTGATACCAAATGTAAGAAAATAAACATATAATCAAATATGTTAGCGGAAGCGAAATTTAAACAAACCTCCTGCCATTGCTAAAAATTAGATTTATTCTTGATATTCTCTTCTCCAAGCAAAACGTGAATTGGAGCTGTGGGAAGACGGTGTTGTCAGACTTTGGAACCCTTGGGAGGATGTTGCCAAACTTTGGAAACCTCCGAAGATAGTGCCAGATCGTGGAACCCTAGGATGATGTTGCCAAACCCTGGCTCTCAAATAGCGATAATGTTAGAAAATAAACATATAATCAAATATGTTAGCGGAAGCGGAATTTAAACAAACCTCCAGCCATTGCTAAAATATAAATCTGTTATTGAAATCTTCTGCTTCAAGGACACGGTGGGTTGGAACTGCAGGAAGATGGTGTTGTCCAACTTTGGAACCATTGGGAAGATGTTGGCAGATCTTAGAACCCTAGGATGACGTTGCCAAACCCTGGCTCTCAAATAGCGATGGTGTATTCTAATTTATGAGAGTAGGTTTAGTAACCCGTATGTGAGAGTATTTATAATAAAAAAGAGAAACCGTCCATCACGATTTTTCTGCCACTTCTCACGTATATTTTGAATGTGATAGACTTAATGGGAGAAAAGTGGGCCACAATTTAAGGTTAGTTTAATTATATAAGATAATTCAAAATAATCAAAATTCAAAATATGATTAAATAATTAATTAAACTAACATTCTCCCACTTGGCCCACTCAACCATCACAACATAACGAGAAACTTTACATACGAATCATGGCGGTAGGTCTTCTATAAACGAATGTTACCTTCCATGTATCACGATATGTCAAGCATCTCAAACTAAATTCACAACTTAATGAATAAATCTTATATTTATTCCGGGTTAAACTTAAGCGATTTTTCTCAGTAATAAACAAATATGTGCACAATAAAGCGAGAAAACATCAAACTGAATAAGAGTCTCAAATAACAATGTGCGCAAACAAACTACATTGTAGAATCAAGTCTCATACTTGCTACGTGATCCCTCAAATTCTTTAGTGGCATGCCTTTAGTCAAGGGATCAGCAAGCATCAACTTTGTACTAACGTGTTCAATGACCACTTTATTTTCCTTAACACGTTATCTTAAGGCTAAATACTTGATGTCGATGTGTTTACTTCGACTCCCACTCTTATTGTTTTTAGCCATAAACGCCGCAACAGAGTTGTCACAATACAACTTAATCGGTCTAGAAATAGAGTCAACGACTCTGAGCTCGGATATGAAACTCTTCAACCATACACCATGCGAGCTAGTCTCGAAACATGAAACAAACTCAGCCTCCATAGTGGAAGTAGCAGTGATAGACTGCTTTGCACTTCTCCAAGAGATAGTTCCACCAGCCAACATGAACACATAACCCGATGTGGATTTCCGAGTGTCAATGCAGCCAGTGTAGTCCAAATCGGAGTAGCCAATCACTTCCAAGACATTAGTTTGTCTATACATGAGCATGAAATCCTTCGTACCTTGAAGGTACCTCATATAACATCCCTTTATCATTAGCTGCAAGCAAAATATCATCCACGAACAACACAATGAAGCAAATACGACTCCCACTAACCTTCTGGTATATACAGTGATCCATGATGTTTTTTTTTTTTTTTTTTTTTTAAAGCCGAATGAAGAAATAACATCATGAAATTTCAAATACCATTGGCGGGATGCCTGCTTCAATCCATATATGGATTTATTAAGCTTACAGACTAAACTTTCTCACATTCCTCCATCAATAGTCTCTCATCCTCTTGAACACACATGGTTATCAATTCATTGATGGACCATTTATCTTTATGTGTGTTGTAGGATAATGTCCCGCATCCGCATTATGTGCTCGCGCACACCCCTCACACCCGTGAATCTCATGGTGGAGAACTGAATGACTGGCATAATCAATATCCATCCAGCCTAAATGAAGGAGGATCATTTCCTTCCAGATTTCGTAATTATCACCAGTCAATTTGGGGACATCACACTTAATGTCAGAGAAATTTATAGGATGAAACGCTCCAAATTAAATATACATGCTCATCAATAAACGAGACAAATAAATTACATGTTCTACCAATGTAAACATGTTAAGACATGAATCTAAAGACATAAGACTTGCCTGTGGGCTAAAGTTTTACTCAATTAGATTCAAACAAAAACTTTACAATAAAACTATCAAATTGCATTCCTTTTCTCAATTCCTGTGGGTAGATTGAGAAATACAACTCGATATTTTATCCTAATTACTCATACAAATATAACAAGACTCCTGTGGGTAGATCTCATCACATTGTACATGATAATTACAATCGATGTCTATTAATGTGATTACAAATAAATCATGAACAAATATTTAATTAATCGAGGATGCTGTGGCTATTCCCCAATTAAATAAAATTTAAAATAAATCACAAACATCATGAATATGCAATCTGAAGTACACATTGAGTGTTCCGTATGTGAATTTATAAAATAAATTAGCAATCTTATTACAACTTATCGAGCAACATCAGCAATTGTCTTTGGACAAATTACTGACTCGCCAGTGATAAATTTGTTTTGATAATCGAAAGTTGACAATAAAATAGTGTGTCGAACAACACTCCATCTGTGGACAAAACTATTGTTCACACACAAATAACCAAATTATCATCACCACATTCAATGTTATTAAACATGCATGTAACTACTTAATCGCTGACTTGCCTTTGGGTCAATCAGCAGCCTTATAAATCACATACACAAACTTCTAACATATAAAATAAACCGATCTACACAGCAGAGGCTACTGTGGCAGCATAACTGTTTCAACCAATTCATAAAATACATTATACTCTTTATTGCTAATTAAATTCACCTTAAAATACATCATATATGTATGACCAATACATATTAAAACTATAACAACAATTAATTTATGGACTCATCAAAATAATCAAATGGTCCAGAAAATACTAAATGCAACACAGACAAAAATATGCCACCCAAAGAGACTATAAATTTAATATAATAAATATTTATAATCGAATTTGCATAAATGCATAATGTCGAAAACATATGCTATATTCCAAATTTAATTGGACCTTAAAAGGGATCATAATGAATCTACAATTCTGATATTCACAAAATCAACCTTGAATAAATAAATAGATTGTGCACGTATTAAATCTAATTGCAGATATATTAACATACACACATTAATTAATAAATTTTGCAATAATCAAACTGAATGCATATATATAAATTGAACGTCAATCACCCAAATGATTGATTAAATAAATAAAAGACAATTAAGTCACAATTGCTCACCAAATGCAATTGATTGCAGTCAAATAAACATATATGCAAATATTAAATATATATAAATAAATAGGCACCCGATATAATTTACTTTGGTGTCAACAAACAGACAAATACAAATTACATGCATCTAATTCAAATTATAATATATATGTATAACCAATCCAACAAAGTAAAACACAGTATTTTTAACGTGAATCGAACAAATCCATGTAGCAATTATATTGAGGAACTTATCCAAGTTTGAGAAGTCATAGGAGAGGCTGCCCACACACTTCTTTCTAATATCACAATAATTAATACCACCCACACGACTAATGATAGAAATGAAGATTATTTCGCAAACTGAATAGGCCGCCAAGCAAGAGAGAAGCCGGAATTCCTAGATTTCTCATCAAACAGTAATTGATGCCTTTCGTGTCGGGAGTAGATCCAATAAAATCATAGTGTATATGATTTCAATCGATTGATCCCATACAATATCTCAATTATTCAACACGAAATTACTTCCTCAAGGTAATTAATTACGTTGACACATATATGAAGTACACAGAAGATATTACAGAAAAATCTGAACACTCCATCGAAACGCGGCAAAAATTCAGAAATTTAATATTTTGTATAAATTAATTTCAAAATAAAATCCAAAATTTTCTCAAAAACAAATGAAAATTTCTCAATGCGCAGGATCGGATCTTGATCAATAAAATATCGCAAAACAATTGTTGAAAATAAAAAATCAAAATATTTCCAAATAAGAAATTAAAGCGAATCTTGATCAAGAATTTGATGGAAAGAAAATTCAAAGCAAGGCAGAGGCAAAAATTGCTCTGATACCAAATGTTAGAAAATAAACATATAATCAAATATGTTAGCGGAAGCGGAATTTAAACAAACCTCCAGCCATTGCTAAAATATAAATCTGTTATTGAAATCTTCTGCTTCAAGGACACGGTGGGTTGGAACTGCAGGAAGATGGTGTTGTCCAACTTTGGAACCATTGGGAAGATGTTGGCAGATCTTAGAACCCTAGGATGACGTTGCCAAACCCTGGCTCTCAAATAGCGATGGTGTATTCTAATTTATGAGAGTAGGTTTAGTAACCCGTATGTGAGAGTATTTATAATAAAAAAGAGAAACCGTCCATCACGATTTTTCTGCCACTTCTCACGTATATTTTGAATGTGATAGACTTAATGGGAGAAAAGTGGGCCACAATTTAAGGTTAGTTTAATTATATAAGATAATTCAAAATAATCAAAATTCAAAATATGATTAAATAATTAATTAAACTAACACGCTCGCAACGTCGCCGACGTGCGACCTACAAAGCGGGCAACTCGCGTGAGTCTGAAACCACGTGTCGATGCAAGAGACGTGGAAAACATGCGAGCATGCGGGCAAGTGCTTTATCCAATCCTCGTCTTCAAATTGTCCTAAACAAACCGCGCACTCACTAAACTCCTCGCCCTTTTCCTTACACACTTGCGTTATAGGTAACGAGCGCATCACGAAAGAATCGAGACCCCTACTGTGAAAAGTCGACGAAAAATCCTCGAGATGCGCATTCAGGCGACGGCGATGATTAGAATTTCGAGATAAACGAATTATACGAAATGTGGCACAACCCCGACCCCCAATAATCTTGTAATAACTAAAGATTAGGACAATTATACAAAGGAGGCCGGCAATGGCGATCACTTTCGGATCCCATTTCGAAAGATTTGAGTTCGGAGAGCGTAGCGTTGGCGATGGCGAAGACATTTTCGAATCGAAACCCGAAAAGGGGGTTTGAGATTTTTATTGCCACAAAAGGCCAAGAATGTAGATTACAACAATGTAGTAAGAACTAATAACTATGCATGATCACAAAGCCCCTTGTCCTTATGTAATGATATTATTTATTTGTAAGAATCTTGACAAAATTTAAATTTTGATAAATATTGAAAGTATTGTAATGAAATGAAAAACAACCTAAGCCCATATCTAGACAAACTATAATTTTTATAAAAAAAAAATAGTGAAAAAAAAAAAAATTGAATCCTTTGAGATACTTTTTGCCATATACACACCACCAATCATTTCTTTCTTTCCCTTTGTACACAAAAAAATTAGAATTTTTTTGACATCATTAAACCAACCTTTGCCTCTTCCCCATACTGTTATAACCACTGTAGTTCATTCCAGACGTGCTGGTAAAGCAGGGCCCGGGCCCGAAGCCCGAAGTCAAGCCCGAGCCCGAATTGGTGGAATTGAATAGATGGGCCGCCGCATGGGCTTGAGCGGTTCCGCAGGAGAGTTGACCACAGCCGGCCGGGGAGTTGACCGGTTTCCGGGGAGTTTGACCGGATTTAATAGTAAACGCGGCGGCATCGGAGGGGGCGACCCCCACCACCGGCGGGACCTGCAACGCCAGAATCTGCGGCGGATTCCGCCACCGCGGCAGCGGCCCCGCCACCAGCAGCGTCTGCAGAAGCGGACCGGCGTGGAGAACCGCCTGCAAGAACCGGCCTGTTTCCGGCAGGGCCCGGCCCTTCACAATACCGTCGATGATCAGCGACGCGTGGTCAAACTCGTTGACCAAAACCCTACGGTTGACTTCATGGACATCCGCCGCCGCCGCCGCCGCCCCGCCGATCAAATTGATGTTGGAAATTCCCGGCGACGGTACGGCGCCGTCGAAGAAGGAGGAGTCGACGGGGGAGGAGGAGTGGGAGCGGCGGTTGACGGCGGCGTCGGAGGGGCTGTTGCAATCGGAAACGGCGGAATTGGGTTTGACGCCGTCGAGAAATACCGGTCCGGGGGAGAACGGCGGAGGCGGAGGCGGCGGCGCCGCCGCCGCGCCGCCGTGGAGGAGGCTGTGGAGCTGATTCCGGGCTTCGTCGCGCTCGTGAAGTGTGTATTTGAGAAGAAGCGTTAAATGTTTAATGTATTCATTATTTTTGCTCATTTCCCCGACAGCTTCAGCTTTCAATTTCTCCAATTCGAGAGTCGTACATAGCAATTTCTGCCCTAATTGCTCCATGTCCTGATTCTGATCAAATTTTCAGAAAAAAAATAATAAAATTAAAAATGCAATTTATAAAAAAAATAAATAAATAAAAAGAATTAGGGTTAGGGTGACCTCTAAAAAGCCCCAGAGAGAAGACATTTCGCCCATTATAAATAAAAATGATTTTTTTTTTTTTGCAAAAATTGAGAAATAAATTTGGGGTAGGGAAAAGAGGGGTTGGGGTGGTTTTATAGAGGGGGGAGAATAGGTGAGAACAAAATTTAATAAAATGGAAATATTTATTAAATAATAATTAAGGAATCTAGAAGACCTTCCAACTAAAAAAAAGGGGTCTAATTACTACTCACTTCCTTGTCATGAAGAAAAGGAAATTTAGGGACCAAAATAATGTTAAATTCCATAGTTTAAGGAAGCTGTCCACTGTTACTAACATACTATATATATCTTTTATTTACATATATATTTATTGCAAAAAATATATCCAAATTGTTGGTGGTCAAGAAAGTGGAATTTTGGACTTCTGTTAACCTTCCTTTTATCATAATTTTATAAATCATGGCAGTTCGTTTCAATATAATAGTCTTGTTTATCATTTTTGTTCGTTTTAAAACAGTACTCTTATTTTCATAAATAACCGTATCACCTTAAAATTATTCATATTTTTTCATTATTATTACACAATTGCCACTACTTTTTACACGAATATACTCACAAGGGCAAAAAAGTCATTTACCCTTACTTTTAACCAACTACCGATATAATATCAATATTTCTTAAATCTAGTGCCCAACACAATAAGACTATACTTTTGGGACGGATGAAGTATATTAATATAATATAATCAATGCAAAAATAAGAGCGGATAAATATTGGTGCGTTTGTTTGAAGGTTTGGATTTTGAGTTGAGATTTGAATAGTAAAAATTTTGAATTAAAATAGTTGTATGATGTGATATAAATAGGTGTTGATGTGATATTTTGAATGTAAAATTGATTTTTAGAATAATATAAAAAATAAAAATTAAATTTTTGATTTGATATTTTTTAAGGTAAATTTTTAAATGAATAGTGGAGTTTTTGCAAAATCTTTCAAACAAACATATCCTAATGTATTTCTATAGAACACACATTTTAAATATAAATATATAATACACATTCCTATATTATAGAGAATGTGTTACTGTATTTTTGATAGGTGCAATTTAATTTTATTTATACTATTTGAGAAAATCAGTACGGTATTAATTTTCTCAAATTGGTACTGTAACCAAACTGAGATATATAGATTTTATAATTTTTATGGGTGCCTTCTTTTTCATTTTTTTCTCCACACATTTTTTCAAATATATTAATATAATATACATATTTATTATTTTTATATTCTCTACACAATTCTCTATACCTCACATAAAAAATATATCTTCAAACTATTTTACAAAACAAACGTCACTCTATTTTTTACTAAAAAAAAAATAGTTTGTTTGGTTGATGATTTTTTTTATTTTTAATAATTATTTTTATGTGATATTTTGTAAAATATTATTTTAAAAAAAAAATAAAAATAAAATAAATAAACAAATAAACCAACAAAATAACAAATCCGACTCATTATTACGCGGTTTGTTAGTTAAAAAAAGGAGAGGTTAATATAGCAAATGAATTCTTATTGAACTTACAACTTTATCACATTTTTTATTTTATTTAATTTTACACTTTATTGTCTCTACTTTTTTACTATTATTATTATTATTATTAATATGATTTTCAATATATAAAATATATATTTTTTATTATTCATAAAATTTAATAATTTCATACAAAATATTATTTTAATTTTTTCATATTTCGCGCCTAAAAAATTTACATTACAATTATTTATAAAAATAGTATTAATAATATTTTTTATCAAACTATTTTTAAATATTATTAGTAATACTCCCTCTGTCATGGCTGAAATGTCTCGTTTGGTTAAAGACATGATATTTTAAATAGTGTAATTTAATATTCTCTCCGTCCAATTGAAAGGTTGTCATTTTTCATTTTTATCCGTCCCAAAACAAAGTTCTCATTTCCTAATTTAGCAATTGTACTACCTACCTAACATAATAAATACCCTTCAAACTTACACTATATTACACAAATTTCATTACTTTTATATTACACAATACTAATAGGGTATTTTCATCTTTTTCACTACAACCCATTATACTACTAGTATTAAAAAATTTACGTGTAAAAAGTAAACGGCAATCTTGCACTGAAACGGAGGGAGTATGTTAATTTTACCATTAACATAAAAGTAAAAATAATATAAAAAAATAAAAAATAAGAGTATTTTGATATTTAGGTAAGAGTTTATTTTTTCTCTAAAAAAAAATTGAGAAGTTTAATTTGAACAAACTAAAATAATAAAATGAGAAGTTTACTTTCTAGTGGGAGTATTATTTTATTTATTTAATAAGAGGCATTATTATTATTTTTTTTAAAAAAACTAGTATATATGATTATTTCTTTAAAAAAATATTTATTTAAATATTATAAACACTATATTTCAATTATTCATTTGTAATTGAAATAAATTAATTTTATAAAAAAATAATAGATTTTAAATATATATAAAAATAATTTGTTTATTGAAGAGTGAGATAAAAATAAAAGAGTTTTAAATTAGTTACATATGTAATAAATTTGGAATTAAATTAAATTAAATTATATTTGTTAAATATGTTTAAAATTATTAAATTTATAAAAAAAAAAAAAAGAAATCATCTTTATTAGTAAAACAGAATAAAAAAGAAAATAAATTATTTGTGGCGGAGCAGAGATAATATAATATAAATAAAACAAGAATATTAGTCAATACCTATATACATTTCTAAAATATAAAATAAATTAACTATAATTAATCTTACCAAAAATAATACTTTTGGTTTTATATTTTCATTTTAATTTTTTCAATGAAAAGAGCTTGAGACTAGTGTATGTGTTTTTATTTAGTAAGTTTAATTCAGTTTTTTTTTTTTTTTTCCTTAATATTTGTTTAAATGTAATATTTTATAAAAATGGGCTATGTTCACTCAGTATTTTTAAATTAAATAATTTTTGGTATGTGATACAAAAAGTTATATAAAAATATAAAATATATTATTTTAAGTGAAATATTTTACTTTTTGATCTTTTGTAATAAATTGTTGATTTTTTATAATAATTATTTGAATTTTTTTTTTCTTTTGTATAAAATATTTTCTATTTTTTATTATTATATTTTGGAATCACAATTGAAAAATTTTGTTGGAAATATATAAGAATTTTTATAACTAAACTGATAAAAATATATTGGATGTATTCTTTTTGCAAAACGTAACATACATATTTTTTCAAGCCCAAAATTAAACAATTTTTTTCTGATTCAAAACATCATACTCCTCATTTCCACATTATTTGTTCCAATTTTTTATTTTCGTCCACCCCACATAATTTGTCATTTCTTTTTTTGAAAATTAATTATACACTTTAATCATATTTTAAAATTTAAATTTTTTTAATCTTAATTAAACTATTTAGTTATCCTAATCTTAATTTATAATTATTTTTACTAATAAATTTCTTAATTACTTGCTAATTTTATTTTAACTAAATTCTCGTATCTACAGTAATACTCCCATATTACATGGAACGGACAGAGTATCAAATACCATCAATAATTATTACAATCAAATTTTGTACTATTGCAAAATACACCAAATCACAATCAATACAAAAACGAGTTTGATTTGTTTTGATAATATATATATATATATATATTACTCCTTCTGTCCCACATTAGGTGTCTTGGTCATGGTAGACACAGGAATTTAGGATAAATATAATTAATAGATAATTAAGAATGTATTAGTGAAAATAATTAACATATAATATAAATTATTATAGATTAATATTAAAATAATTAATTGATTTAATTAAAATAAAAAAATTAAATTAGAAAAATTAAAATAAAATTAAGATGAGTAATCATTTTCCAAAAAAAAGAAAGTGACATGACATGTGAGACGGAAAAAACGACACGGATGGAGTATTAAAAAAAATATAATATACATATATTAATATAATATATATTTTTTTCATTCAACTTTATTTGTCGACTATTTATATTTTCGTTTATTTCACCTTATTTGTTTCTTTTTTTTTTTAAGAAAAATGATTATACAATTTAATTGAATTTTAAATTTTATAATTACTAATTTGTAATTTTAATTAAATTAATTATTTATCTTAATTTATAATTATTTATATATAATAATAATAATATTAATAATTTTTACTAATATACTTCGTATTATTTATTAATTATATTTTACTTATATTTTCGTATCCACATGAGACTGGACATATAAAGTGGAGCGAAATGAGTATAATACTCCCTCCGTCTCATAACAAACTATCTATTTTTTCATTTTAGTCCGTCTCATAACAAAGTATCTAAAATATTTTCTTTTTTATTAACGGTACTATCTACCTAACATTACAAATACCCTTACAATTTACAGTATATTACAAAAATGTCATTACTTTTATATCACACAATATTAATAAGGTTATTTTAGTAATTTATATTTTATTCCTACTATATCCCAATATAATACTAATATTTCTAAAATTACTTGTAAAAAACAAATAGATACTTAGTTATAGAACTAAGGGAGTAATATATTAAAAATATATATATATACAAAATGAACAAACTCATAATTATAATAACCTAATAAATAATTAGGATAGAATAACCCTTAAAGTAAAAATTATTAATTCCATTATTAATTGTAAAGACAGCTTATGAGTTATGAATACATTGGTGACTAAGGCAATAATAATAATAATAATAATAATAATAATAATAATTACTGCATAAATTATTTTTCCTCTTTCCTAACATAGAACAATCCTAACTAATATTATTACCGATATTAATTAAAATTTTAATTTTTATTGAAATGTAATTGTCGAGGTGAAGGAATTTGCTATAATCAAGGAATTATTTAATTTATAATTAATGTAAATTTAAGGTATATTTTTTAATTTATATCTTAAAAGAGACTACTTGAAAAAAATCAATTATCATAGTATTTATTTATTTATTATTTTGATAATTAATAGTTGTCTTGTCGATTAAAATTACTCCCTTCACATTAA